CTCTTTGGTACTACCACACTGCACTCACGGAACTTTGCAGCCCCCTGATGGCAGAGCGCTTCAGTGACCCCAAATTCTGTTCCTGGTCCAAATGCCTGTGTCCTTCCCTGCTTCCCGAACCAAACGGCCTTCACCTTCCTTGGCTTCCAGGTTTTGGTTCCTGAATTTGTCATTGCTTTTGCAGTGCCGAATGATGACTGCGTGCAAGACCAAAGGCGTTCCTGTCAACGTCCATGTGTTCTATAGGTCTGGCTGTGGATCATATCAATCTGTTTGACAGGAGCTGACAGCTCAGAGTGTCAGTAGAGCTGGCTCCAACCAGTTCTGTCTGGTTGAGGGCAGAGCTAATTAACAGTGACTCAGCACTGGGTCCCGACTGGACAATGCTAGTATAAGTGTGATGCTGTACTGTGTACTATCCCTTCCTGATGGAAACCTGGTGTCTGCGTGAGCATTTTGTCGTTCTGTGCAATATATGGGTGGAGGCTCGTGTGAATAAACTGTATATAGTTTTACACCAAGCCTATAAGACTTACGTCTTCTTTGATACTCTCACACCCACTCAAAATCTGCAGTGGGCTAGCACCGCGCAAACCTCGGCAGTTTCCAGATTTATGTTTCGGAGGGTGGCCGTGTTGGTCTGCAGCAGAAGACTTGGGTTCGAGTCCAGGAGGACCTTGCAGAGCAGCAAGAATTCCAGGGGATCAGCCTTTGAGAGTAAAAGGTATCTGACAAAGGGACCTTTGACCCTCCCCCCAACCTTGTTGATCTCTAAGGGTCTGCTGGACTCGAATCCAGCTCTTCTACGGCTTAGTAAGAACATGATCTTGGCAGCCTGCCAGGTGAGCCATTCGTCTCCTTTGCCCCCATCCAACCCCAGCCCGAGAGTCTTCCGTTGCCCTCCGTGGCTCTCTCGGCCTCTCTTGCAGCATGTCTGCACACTCCCTCCACAGTCGCCAGACGGGAGAGACTTCTTTCCTGGCTCCTGCCTCATCGGCATACAACAAACTGCTTCATGCTGAAGCCCCCCTGCACCCTTCAGGCTAGTCTACCATATTTAAATGCTGCTGCTGTAGTTCAATCGCACAGTTGAGTCCGACTCTTTGCGACCCCATGGACCACATCACGCCAGGCCCTCCTGTCTTCCGCCATCCTCCAGAGTTTGCTCAACTTCACATTTCAATGCTGAAGAAATTCACATTTTGAGCTGAACAGGGAAAAGACACATGCTAAGCCCCCACCCACAGACTTTTTTTTAAAAAAAAGGCTTTTAATGATGCAAACCTTCCTCCTGAGCTCTGGGCACAGATTTGGGTTGTGCATGATAACCCTCCCCACCCAATCTCTTCCTCCCTCTTGATGGGAGCCAGGGAGCAGCTAAACCAGGACTTCCTCCCTGCATCTATCTGAATGGAGGCTCCTCCTTAACTTGCAGGATATTTTTTCTTTCTTTTGCCATCCAGTCACAGCCAACTGATGGCCATCTGATAGGGTTTCCAAGTCAAGACACATCCAGAGGTGGTTTGGGATTGCCTGCCTCTGAGTAGCAAACCTGGTCTTCCTTGGGGGTCTCCCATCCAGCCAGGGCTGACCCTGACCGAGGCCGACCCTGCTTAGCTCCAAGACCAGGCTGGCCTGGGCTGTCCAGGTCGGGGCTCTTGCTAGATCAACCTCAGATTATTTATTTATTTATTCGATTTCTATACCGCCCTAACCCCCCATGGGGGTCTCTGGGCGGTTTACAAGTTATGTGGTGCTAGTCACCAATTATACATTTCTAGCTATGGCCACATTTCATATAGGGGTTGGGTCATCCTACCAGCACCCCAGGTGATGGCGGCGTCTTTTCTCATTCTTCCTCCGGCTTCTGGCTTCCCGGCTGCAGGTGTTGCTTTTTTTTTTCAATCCAGCGGGACGTCTTGCCTCTCTCTGATGCTTTCCGGGCGGGCGGCTGCCTTCCTTTTCGTTTAAATAATATTTATTTATTACAGTTTTCTTATGCATTACATCATGCATTCATGGCAATTCAAACATTTCAGCGCACGAGTCAGTCTCCTCCGTCCGCGGCTATGTCCACTCGGCCGCGCCGCGCCGGGGGATGACGTCTCCGTGCGTCCTCTGTGCTGCGACGGCCGGCATTCTCCACTGCCCCTCGATGTTGGCCACCAGGGATTGCTCTTCCCACTGGCCTTCGTTCGCCGCGCCCTGCCGCACCACCTCGTCTCCGCTCCGCTCTGCTCCAAGTCTCCGCCATAGTTGCCGCCGGTTTTTGCCGCCATTGCCGTCAATTCCTTCGATGGTCCTACGTCGCACATCACACACCTCGGAAAGGGGGGTGCCCCTACCCTACTAAGGGTAGCTACCCATTTATCATACCCTTTAACGGGCATTCTTGAACCGCTGGGTGGGCGGGAGCTGGGACATCGGGTCGGGAGCTCACTCCGACCGCGGTGGGGCTCGAACAGTAGTTCGGCCAGATGTTATAGTGCAGGCTGCATTAACAGCCTGCGCCACCGCTACCCTCAAGGAGTCATCCACTTTTCCTTGCCTGGAGGGAGACCAGGACGGGCTCCTGACCTCTCTTTGGATCTCTCTTCGGCACCTGAAAAGGCGCAGGGGAGTGAGTGAGTGAGTGCGTGGGGGAGACATGAGACTTCCTGATCCTGCCACACTGCAGGCGTGATTAAGACTGGACCCTCGCGTCGTTCTTAAATGGCCCATGTTCAGCTGTACAATGGTGGCATCCACAGGGTGGACCCACAAACTCTGTCCTGTCTAGTTTGGCCTTCAGGGATAGCACCTGATGGACACAGAGGCAGAACTGAAGGTCAAAAATCTCCTCTGAAGATGAAACCAGTCTTTTCCCTTCACCCTGAGAGTTCAGCCACCTTCCTTGAAAAACTTAAGGAACTGGCTAAAAAACCCTGGATACTTCAGCTAAACCTCTGCAACCTCACTCTTTGAAAGAAAAGAAGAAAAACTACAGCCTCGCTTGAATGTCTGGAGGTTCTCACCGAATCGACAGCCTTCCAAGTATAGTGTTGGAACACTGCGTTGCACAAACATGGCAGTCGAAAAGAGGACTTTGATGAAATGCTGGGGTTTGGTGGATGTTGAACAACAACAACATCATAACATCTTCCCACCCAAACAACCCCAACAAAGTAGAGTTGTAAATGAACATGGAAGCAGCTGCAGATGTTATCCTAATTCTGACTTAAAAAACTGAACTCTTTCTATTCCTGTATTATAGAATCCTCCTGCCAACCTAGCAGTTCGAAAGCAAGAAATTGCAAGTAGATAAATAGGTACCACTTCGGTGGGAAGGTCAGTGTTCCGTGCGCCTTGGTGTTTAGTCATGCCGGCCACATGACCATGGAAACGTCTTCGGACAGCGCTGGCTCTTCGGCTTGGAAACGGAGATGAGCACCGCAACCCTAGAGTCTGGGTTCATGGCCGAGAACCTATGGGACTCTCGGCCACTGTAAATAACCTATAGGGAAGTAGGGGTGTGTTTTGGGCTGTGGTTTCTTGGGGGATATAAGCCGGCCTGCGAGCCGGCCAAAGTCGTCTTGTTCCTGATCGAATAAAGTACGCTTTGCTGAAATCACTTTTCAGAAGGGGAGCCCACCACCTCCCTAGGCGGCTGATTCCACCTTTGAAGAACCACCCTGACCGTGAAAAAGTGTTTCCTAATATCCAGCCGATACCTTTCTGCATGTAGTTTAAACCCGTTGCTCCAGGTCCTCTCCTCTGCCGCCAACTGGAACAGCTCCTTGCCCTCCTCCCAAGGACAGCCTTTCAGATATTTAAAGAGAGCCATCATGCCCCCCCCCCCCCAGTCTCCTCTTCTCCAGACTGAACATTCCCAAGTCCCTCAGCCTTTCCTTAAAGGTCTTAGTCATCTTTTTTTTTAAAAAATAACTTCCTCTGCACCCACTCCACTCTGTCCACATCCTTTTTGAAGGGAGGCCTCCAGAACTGCACACAAGGCTCCAGGCATGGCCTGACCAAGGCAGTGTACAGCAGGACTATGACACCTTGCAATTTGCATGTTAGGCCTCTGCTGATACACCCTAAGATTGCAGTGGCTGCTTATATTTAACTTACGGTCCACCCATACCCAAAGATCATGTTCACACACATTGCTACCCATCCAGTATGCGTGTTCCTCATTTTTGTTACCCAGATGTAGAACTCGGCACTTATCCTTGTTAAATTGCATCTTGCTCACATCTGCCCGCTTTTCCAGTGTGTTCAGATCTCGCTGAATTCTATCTCTGTCTTCTGGTGTGTTCGCTGCTTCTCCCAATTTGGTGTCATCTGCAAATTTAATGAGTAGCCCCTCCACACCCTCATCCAGATCATTTATAAAAATACTGAAAAGTACCGGGCCCAGAACCGAGCCCTGTGGCACCCCCACTAGACACCTCCCTCCATCCGGATGAAATGCCATTGACAGCTACTCTCTGAGTGTGGTTCTCCAACCACTTCCCTGCCCACCCAACTATCCTACAGTCCAGTCCACAGTCCTCTAGTTTACCCAATCAGAACATCATGAGGATTCGCACACCAACAGTCCAGGAAACAGATGTGTTAAGAATGAAAAAAAAATATAGCTCAAACCTCATACTCAGTTATTTACATACTCTTTAATATTCACCACAACCTGTTTAAAAGAACAGCCACGCACCAACATTTTAAAGCCGGGAGGGATTTTGAGCACACCACACAGAATGTCGCTTGTTTATGCAACATTCTGACAGATACAATTAATCTTGTGAAAATGATGTGGATGTTGCATAATAGCATATTATCTTTAAAGGCCCCAAACAGACTTCTTCCTGAGAGAATTAACAGTCCATTAAAACACAATCTCGCAGTGTAAATGAAAGCTTGGGAAGAACAAATTCACATCCTGCACTTGGAATAAAAGAAAGTTCTCTAAAATGGGGTGGAGGAAAACTTAAAGAGAAAGCAAGGGGACAAAAAGCAAATACCTCCCACAAATGCATCTCCTGCTCCGTTGGTGTCCACAATCTCGCTCTGGTCACTGATTAGCACCGGGAAGGACCGCACTTCGGTATCTGAAACGGAAACGAGAGGAGATGCCTGTGAGCTGGGCTGGCGAGCTCCCAAACGGCAACACTGCCAAAAAAGGAATACGGCAACCACCCGACAACTCGTCTCGGATGCCAGTATTCATGCACAAAGCCCTGCAGATTAACCCAAGTATAGATTAACACTTCGGGACATCTACAGATTTCATAAACGATGTCTTAAAATCAGTTGGGTAACACGGGAGAAAAAGTGAAGAGTGCGGCCACTGTACTCTTCAGGAGGCAAAATGCTGTGAAACGACATCTATCGTGTATGAGAGGGACCCGGATACTGGTTCCATTTGGGTTTATAGCCTTGACAGAAATATTTTCTGGCTTTGTTTCCCACTTTTTGCAAGCCTGCTGCCATTCTAAAGACCATTTCAAGGAATAACTGTGTGTGTGTGCGCGTGCGCGCTTGAATGCACATTTCCCCCCATAACTTACAGTGCATAGGTATGATAACTTCAGAAAACGGGAGTCACAGACTAAATATATGCTCTTAATTAATCAGCCAGGGCTTTCTGGTGGTTTTTTATAAGGATGTGATAAAAACATAATTACCACCTTGTTAATGCACAAGTTACCGCAGTAAGAGACTCCTATACAAATGTCGCCATACGCACTGAACAAACACACGGACTGGTTGGGCGGGCAGCGGACAACAATGACAAGGGGAAACAAAGCCGTGCCCACGACTGCAGAGAGCCCTACTTGAGTGCGGGTTATTTAAGGAGGTGTATCAGAAACTATGCAACGTGACTAAAGAGACAGTTGTCAACATGTTTAGGACGGCTGTGTAAACTGCTCTCCGGAGCAGTTTGCAGAAATCGATCCTTCCAGTATACTTCCATCACACCTTTCATTCAGGGGGGAAAGAGAAAGGCAAACGGGGGCCCTTCTCCATCGAAACCCAGAAACGTGTTGCTGAATGCAGAAAGACCAGAAGGATGGGAGTGCCAGCCGCAGGGCCTGGCAGACAAACCAGCCCACACCAGCCTCCAGAAGGAATCGCATGCCTGTTGCTATCTTTCCATGTGCTATCTCTCATGAAGTGCTGTACTCTCATGTACTTAATTACTGATACACTTATGTTACTGGCAGTGTTCCCTCTAAGCTGAATTAGTGTGAGCTAGTTCACCGTTTTTTAGCCTCCAGCTCACACATCTTTGTCTTAGCTCAGGAAGGAGGGCTCCGGAGCAAACTGATTTATGCAGCAGCCAAATGGCTCGCTCACAACTTTAATGACAGGAGCTCACAAAGGAGAATTCTTGCTCACAAGGCTCCACAGTGTAGGGGGAACATTGGTTACTGGTAATGGTCATTCAATAGACATGTTATTATTCTATTTTTTTTTAAACACCCCAGTTTAAGAGAAGAGTTAAAGCAACTACAAATTCATTCACACAAAACGCTACTGCTGCATAACTTCTGTTCTGGAAGAGCCGTACATACTTGTTGCCAGACCCCCCAGTAGAGGCGGGGGCCCCCTGCTGCCCGGCCCCACCTCTCCACCGCTGATCAGCTGGCTGGTGGGGGGGAATCTCACCCTGAAAAAGAGGGGGATCCAACCGGCGTGCAGCAACGTGTCTACATCACTGCCCACGTGACCTGGAAGTGATGTCATCACATCCTGGACGTTGGGACAACGCTCTAGTATTTGGGCAAAAGCTCTATGCTAGAAGCCAAATTTACCATAGAATTTTTGCTCAAATACCAGAGCATCGCCCTAACGTCCCGGACATAATGATGTCAGTCCCGGGTCATGTGGACAGTGACATAGACACATCACTGTATGTCGAATGGGCCTCCCTGCTGCTCTCAGCAAGTCCCCCCTCCACCCCCCACCGGCTGCTAGGAGGGACCTGGCAACCCTATCTGGCAGCTTGGGCTCCATTAGCTACACCTCCACTTGCTCTTTTAGTTGTGCCACCCACCCACCACCCCCATCATGAGCATTTCGCGTCATCATGCCCATAAGAACGTAAGAGAAGCCAGTGTTGGATCAGGCCAATGGCCCACCCAGTCCAACACTCTGTATCACACAGTGGCCAAAAATACCAGGTGCCATCAGGAGGTCCACCAGTGGGGCCAGGACACTAGGAGCCTTCCCACTGTTGCCCCCCCCAAGAATACGTAACCTGCTAGTTCACAGACTTTGAGGGGGGGAAGTGAGTGTTCCTTGGCTTGGGTTCGTGAGACGCTGGCACAGCAACTATGTTTGCCAAAGTGCCCCATGTTCCATATGTAGCTCCTCTTCGAAAGGCATAGGCACGTACTTTGTTCTTTTAAACACAAGCTCCCCAAGAACTCTCCTACTCTCCCCTTCACCAATGGAAACATGTGCTGTGAATGGCACTCAGTGGTAGTCACAGAGCATTTGGTTAAGTATACAATGCCCAGAATTCCACAAGACCTGCACGTTCTTGCTATGCAAGAACTGCACGTGATTTTAGAGATCTTGTCTGGGTATATATCCTGAAGGCCAGCCTAAGCTGCAGAGGCTTCTGTTAGAATCAGCAAGTTCAAACAGAGCATTTGAGGTTTCATCCTGGGATATGGATGACAACCAGAACACCAAAATAATGGAGCTATTAACAGAGCAGTTTCAGGGAGTTGTACTCATGCTTCCCAACAACAGTTTTAGCTCTAAGCAAAGGCTATGCAAAATGGACAAGAGGATCTTGACAGGGTTACAAAGAGAAATTTCCATACATTTTGAAGCCATGGCAAATTACCTGCCCCCCCCCCCAACAGATGGGCACACCTCAGCAGACCAGGAGGAACTGAATGGGAAAGGGCATGCGTGCCCATATGGGAGGGGATTTTAATGTCTTATTTTGCAGCTCTGGAAGTTTCCAAAATCAAGCCCTGAGCAGGGACAGTGGGATGCACAGAGTTAAGAAAATAAAACCCATCATTTACTATTTAGCAGATAAAAATTGCACTAGTTGACATACTTTTGTAATTTAAAAGTATAAATGCCTTAGTTTTCCAGAAGCAAAACAGCAAATATATTGCATACTTGAGCTGCAAACTGCTACACTGTATACTACCTTAGTAATTCTCTTAATTTTTGCCATCTGAGAAGTAGGGGGGAAAACACTGAAGTTGGAAAACAAAACTTGGAATAAAGAAAGCATATCATTTGGACATATCATTTACTTCTGTGTTTTTTAATTTGTTTATAAAAATTTAAAAAAAAATCATTTGGACAGAAACAGTCTCATACAGTTACAATAAACAGGAATACCAGCATATTTGGATATCAAATTAAAGTTTGTAACACTGACAACACTGGACTCTAATAATTTGTTATCAAATATTAATAACATCACTAATTTTATTGTCAAAGTTATTCATACTGAAACAATAAACATATCCTTTAAAATATGTTGTATATGTCTACAGTATACGTACGAAATACTGTCATAATTTTTTCATGGTCTATTGTTTCAGTGAATAAAACCTTGCCTCATACAGCATTTAACTCATTCTAAAAGACCAAAAACATAAAATAAAAATGAAAATACACAGAGGTTTGCCCCCCCCCCCGTTCCCAAAAATCTGAAGTCTACATATTTTTTTACTCCCAAGTCTGTCCTTTTTCCAGGTTTCACATAACTAGCCAGGGGTCAAGATGACTGGCAAAGTTAGAGACCCATGTTCGGCCCATGGCCACGGTTTCCACAATTTAAAACAAACATAGGCTGGAAAATGTGGGGGGGAAGCGTGGCTGTTTGCCCCAGGGCAAACTAACGCGCGACTGCGCAATCAGACATCTGGTTGAGGTCCCGTGGCTAGGGGGGAGGTGCCGATCACACGACAGGCAAAGAAGCGGGGTGACACGGCAAATGGGGTTGTTGGTTTTTTTTTTTCTTTTTAAAACTGAAGTGTGCACATGCTCCGTTGGGTGCTTGTACGCATCCGTGGAGCCTTGGGGGGAAAAATGACCTGTTTGCGAGGGGACATGGGCGGGCGCCGGATGCCACCGGAAACGCGATCAGATGCCCGCCCTTGCCCCGCAGTTTCCAGAAACTAGTACCTCGGAGGTACTAGTTTTTTGCCTCGGATCTTCGGCGGGAAGCCTCGGGTGAGCCACGGGAGCTCTACGCTTCCCAGATGTGGTGGTGTGATCGCGCCCGGAAAATCCGCCTATCTTCTGTCTCTGTAGCGTGGCTAATGCTCCGTGTGACCGCAGCCTTAATATACCTACTTTATTGTCTTTTATTGTGGCTTTTGTACCTTTCTCTCAAATAAAAAACCCAATGAAAAGCTTAGTGCTAACATAGCATGGAGTCAATGGGGAAATACCTCTCATTATTCAAAATTTAATGAAATCCTGATTCCCAAATACTGAGCTGATGCGCTGATTCGGTAGCTGCTCCTAAATTCAGCTGGACTCTAAGAGGAGATACCTTCCTGACTTACAGCTGCAAACACCATCAAACAATGATTACATCCAATTAGGCTGAGCACTTCTCTTAACTGGGTCATTTGCCAATCACGCTTGCTTTTAAAAGTAGATTAAATTTGTGAGCTTGCTTTTAATTGCCCAGGACAAAATTCTTCAGGGTAGGACTGTGAAGTACCCTTAATGTTGGGGAGGGACGGGAGGAAAGGGTTCCATACAACATTTGTTTCCCATGATAATCTGCTGTAGATTCAGGTATTGATAACGAAAGCTGTGGATCATAAAGACTCAGATTCCCATTCTACTTTCTGTTTTTGTCGTTTACAAACCCGACTACTGTACCCGAGATAAACACCTGGCATAGCACCTCCTTAACCCAAACAGCGGGCTCTTCGGAGCAAGTGTTCCTAGCCAATCACAGCCCAGGGGCAGGAAGACACGGAGCGCATGGGACTGGGAGCTGCCCAGCAAGGGTGATACAACAACAGGGCCGCCATTCTGGGCGACGGCTCGGTATTTTTTGGCCATGCTGACTTTGTCCTACTGGTAAAGATTTCCTTGCTGAATCCGACGA